CACTTCTTGGATTTTGGGATCACCTATACAGGGAGTGGTTGTTTGAGTCAGATTTTCTGTTGCTGTGACCAAAAGACCTGACAAAAATGATGTAGAGGAAGAAAAATTTATTTTGGTTCATGGTTTCAGAGGTCTCAGTCCATAGGTGGCCACCGTCATAGCTCTGGACCTGAAGTGGGTCCAGAGGACATCACAGGAAAGCAGCTCAGAACGTGGCAACAGGAAGGCGGAGGGGGGGAGATCCACTCACTAGGGACAAAATATAAACCCCAAATGCAGGCCCCCAGTGACCTACCTCCTCCAGCCATTCCCCCCTCCTGCCTACAACTATCCCCCAGTTAATCCATTCGAGTGGAATAACACACTGATTAGGTTAAAACTCTCACAACACAATTTTCTCACCTCTAAATTTTCTTGTGTTGTCTTATCTAAACCATAACAGTAGCCAACAACCCAATGAAGCTGTCCTGTTGAAGAAGCTGAGCTCAATCGGAGAACTGGTGGGAGAACATTAGGGTTAACATGGGCCTACAACCTCTTGTTGCTGCAGGCTCCAGGGCCACCCCTCTCTTCCCTTTCCTGAGGTCTGATAGTCACCTCTTTCTAGGCATGTCAGCTGTCCATCACTATAATAAGATATCTGAGGCAATTAACTTATAAAGAAAAATGGGTTATTTTGACTCCTGCTTCTGGAGAAGCATCAGCATCAGATGGCCCCATTGCTTTGGGCCCCTGGCAGGGATGGCTCATCGTGGCAGGGGCATGTGGTAAAGCAAAACCACGTACATCATGAACCAGGAAACGAAGAGAGGACGAGGAAGCCTGGGATCCCACAATCCCCATCAAGCACCCACCCTCAACGACCTCAGGAGCTCCCTATAAGAGGTGCCCCTACCTCCCAGAGCACCACCCTGTGGACCAATCCTTTAAGGTCTTCAGAGGACATTCAACCTCCAAACCACAGCACTGGGATTCCTTGAGTGTCCCCCCGCTGCCCTCTCTCTCAATAATCTATAAAGTTTGGGTCAATGTGAGTGGATTCTGGCCCCTGGTCCCCAAAGCCTCTTTAGCTAAGATGGGGTTCTGCAGGAACGAGAGCCTAGAGTAGGGATCCAAGGTCACACGTTCCTAAGTTCAGGTCTTTGGAACTTGCAGAGTGAAAGAAATTAATGTTTAAACCAGGTGGTTCTCTCCAATTCCTAAGCATGGAATCCATTCCATTCTGCTCAACAGGTGTTCATGGAGCGCTTACTCTGTGCCTGGACTGTGCTTGGTGCCAGGGAGGCAAAGACAGGCAGCAGGGGCTGTTGTGGGCCCACAGTATCCAGGGAGTTACAGTCACAGAGAAGTCACTGCATGGTATCATAAAAGCAGTGATGGAAGTGTGTATGAAGTCAGTGACAACTGGGGTGGCCAAGGGAGAGTCACAGTAAAGCCAAGGGAAGCCTAGGGACCATGGCGTGGAGTCACCCAGTAACACCATGTCCTGGAGGGTGTTAGCAGTAGTGCTGAAATGGGGGGTGGGGATCCCAGACTTCAGGACAGATGGGCTTGCTGAGAAATGGTGGTGGGGTCCCCTGGAAGAGGTGATTAGAAGTGAAAAAAGAGCTCACTTCTATTTTTTTTTTCCTGGGGAGCCTGGGAAATGGCCTCTAAAGACAATGGACCAAGATCATAGAAAAGTCTAAGACTAAACCATTTGACCCAGCTATCCCTCTTCTCTGTCTATACCCAAAGGACTTAAAAACAGCATACTGCAGGGACACAGCCAATAGCAGCACAATTCACAATAGCTAAACTGTGGAACCAACCTAGATGCCCTTCAATAGATGAATGGATAAATAAAATGTGGTATATATACCCAATGGAATATTACTCAGCAATAAAAGAGATTAAAGTCATGGCATTTGCAAGTAAATGGATGGAGTTAGAGAATATAATGCTAAGTGAAGTTAGCCAATCCCAAAAAACCAAATGCCGAATGTTTTCTCTGATATAAGGAGGCTGATTCATAGTGGGGTAGGGAGCAGGAGCATGGGAGGAATAGACAAACTCTAGATAGGGCAGAGGGGTGGGAGGGGAAGGGAGGGGGCATAGAGTTTTAAATGATGGTGGAATGTGATGGACATTATTATCCAAAATACAGGTATGAAGACACAAATTGGTGTAATACACTGTGTATACAACCAGAGATATGAAAAATTGTGCTCTATATGTGTAATATGAATTGTACTGCATTCTGTTATCATATATAATTTAAAAAAAAAAAAAAACAAAGATCCTATGGGGGAAAAAATCTAAGGCTGAGAAGTTTAGGTGCCCTTGTGGCAATGGGATATGGTTAGAGTGAGAGGTAGTCTTTTCTCAATCGAGCCATGTTCCAGAACAAACCATAGGACTCAGAAGATGATAGAGAGTGTTTATTTAATAGATATTTCTTGAAGGCAGACTATATCATAGGTACATGGTTCATGCCTCACAGACGAGTGAATATGGACATTAATCACATAATTACAAAAATAAATGTAAAAATAAACAGTGCATGAAGGAAAAAGTATGGTGAGCTCTGAGTGGAAATGAGACCTGAGAAGACTCAACAGAGCAGGGGCCCCTGAGCCAAGATTCAAATGACCAGTAGGAGAGAACTGGTGAAAAGAGAAGGAAAGGGGTAGACTGTAATTTAATTGTGTTATGGATTGGGGATTCAGATAGATATACAGACAAAGAAAAAGGAGGAGAGGCACAGAAAACAAGAGTCACAAGCTCCAGGGGGGTCAGGAGGAAGATTTTGAGAAGACAGTGACCACTCCTGTGACTCTCTTCACTTCTTCTTCTCTCCATTTCTGAAACTCACTGAAATTCATCTCCATACCAATAAACAAGTTCCCTCCCTTTATCCGTTCATTCTTCCCTTCATCCATCCATCCACCACCCCACAGATGCCCAGACAATGGTAATCCAGGTCCTATGCCAGCACCCAGTGACCCAAAGAATCTATAACTTAATAGAAATTCTACTGCTGGCATTTTCTTACAATTGTTTTGACTCCCTGCTTGGAGATAAGGAAAAGAGGACAAAAAAGTAACTGTGCTAATCAAAATGCAGGAACAATAAAACTCTAAAAAGAAATCAGGGGCTCTCAGCACGCTGATCTCTCTGTCCGCAATTGCTGAGGAAAGGTGTGGTGGGAGAGGCCAAGATGTCCAAGTGCCATTGAGCCTTTTTCCCTTCAGAGTTCAGCCATCCATCCCTTACATAAAATAGGCTGTATTTGATACAAATGAATCTAAGATACAAATCTCTAAGAACGAGCCACATACTGATTTATATCATTTATGAAATAGTCCATTTCTGTACAATAAGGCTGTTTTCATAGAAAACGGTAGAGGACTTTGAGACAGTTGCACCCACTCTCATGCTGAGCATCTGGCCCCAGGGATTGCCCTCCTTTCATTCTAGACTTGGTCTTCTGGGATTTCTTGACGTGGTTCCTGCTGTCATTCCAGATTCGGAGGTCACACCTACCTCCAGGGAAGTCTGAGAATTCCTCAAACTGGAGGCTGCAGATGCTCTGAGAACAAACTGGTTTATGCTTTGAATCCCCATGTTAGCAAAACAAGTTATAGCATCATTGTTTTTGTTTTGATTTGTTTTGTTTTTCTGCACTGTGCATTTAAAAAATTTCTTTCAATAAACAGGGATTACATTGATAGTAAGGAAAATATAAACATTTCTTAAAGACTGTTTAAGCTAATGGTTATGCACTGTACACCTGTAATCCCAGCTACTTCAGAGGCTGAAGCAGGAAGATCACAAGTTCGAGGCCAGCCTCGGCAACTTAATGAGACCCCGACTTAAAATAAAAACTAAAAAGGGCTGGGGATACAGCCCAGGGGTAGAGCATCCCTGGGCTCAATCCCCAGTACAGAAAGAAAGAAAGAAAGAAAAAAAGAAAGAAAGAAAGAGGGTTGCCTGGGATGGAGTGTAGTTCCGTGGTGCAGCTCTGGGATGGCCCCCAGCACTGCCAAAACAAACATACAAACAACCTAAACAGGAAAAGAAGGGTAGCTGGGCTGGGGCTGGGGCTCAGAGGTAGAGCGTTGGCCTAGCACATGTGAAGCACTGGGTTTGATCCTCAGCGCCACATAAAAATAAAATAAAGATATTGTCACCACCTATAACTAAAAAAATAAATATATAAAAAAAGAGAAGGGTTGCCTATAAAATGATCCTTCTCCACCTTAGATGAAAAACAAGCCCTTTCCTCCCCTGCTGGTCCCCTGTCCCAGGGGTGTGGGGCTGCTGCTTCCTCCCTAGACCCAGCACTGCCCTCAGGCTACCAGCCCATCTCTACCTCCTTTGCACCAGCATTACTTCAGAGCGGGTGGGACAGGGGTATGTGGCTTTCTTGCTGCCCCAGAGAGAAGCTGTATTGATAAGGAGGGGCCACCCCTATCAAAGGATATGATCAAAGGATATGAGCTAAGCCACGTTAAAATAAATAACAACATATTCACATTCATCACACCTTCACAGATGTGGTACCCATAGGATTTCAAAGAACCCTTCATAGACTTGTCTTCCACACAGCAACCCTGAGAGGTAGGTCAGTTTTGTTCCCTTCTGCGTGATGGGTTCTGTGCAGAATTCGGCACAGGGAACAGAAAGTCCACAGGAAGGTCTCCAGCCCCCCACCTAGCCTTAAGATGAGTACCCGAAGCCCTGAGGAACAAAGAGCCCGTGTGATGGGCAGCAGAATCGACAGGTCGGAACAAACAGGCCCCAGGATGCAGCCAGACAAAGCACTGGGCTGTCAGAAGGCTGGCTATTTCTGACTTGCCCTAGTTAGGGCCACCCTTCCCAGTATCGTTTTATAATCACAAGGTCGTTTGACGTTCTGAAATGTGACATCCTGAAATGTGACATCTGTAGGACGCTGCTGAAAATAACCTTGGTTTTTTTCATGCTTTTTGAGCTTTGAGAAAAAGTTCAGGTGAAGCTTTAAAAGAGGCCGTAGATGCAGCTTTCCTGACATCGTTGCTGCCCACGTGTCCCCGGCAGCAGCAGTTACATTTGCAACTTGGGGCAGAGAATAGGTTTGAAGACTGTCTGGACATTTTCCATCAGGACAAGATCATACCGACATAACTGGGGCCTGGGAAAACACGACAGAAATACCCTTGTCAATAAAATCATAGCAATACCACGTTCTTGTCAAGTCAACTGCATTATATCCTTAGGATATAAAATTATGCAGCAGATGTTTCTAATGGAATAGGAAAAACGCTTCCGGTAAGTAAAACATCCACAGCCAGAAAGCAGAACATAAAATGTTATCCCCATCTGACTTCAACTAGGTCTAAAAGCAACGATAGAAATAACCAAAACTGTTAACAGTGGTTACCTCTGAATGATATTAGGAGTGATCGTTTCCTGCTTCCTAACACTTTCTGTACTTTCCAGACTTTATAAAATTGGCATGTTATCTCTTTGAAAATTAGGAAAGTACAAAAAAAAAATCCCACCATTTTAAGATGTAATGACTATTCTCTTAGAGGAAATTTGTATTAAATATTTTAGGGTGTCCTTAACCTTCAAGAAAAAGTTACTGATTTACATCATTGCCTGTCTCTTTTTCCACCCACAGATTAAAAGTTAAGACCACATGGTAGAGTGGCATTTATCACAAAACATACAAATATAGCCTTGTACTTAAAAAAAAAATCCCCTCTCTCTCTTTATGCACACACATTCACTTTTTCTGAACCCGTTGATAATAGGTTGTTTGTTCCTCAATATTTCTTAACACTTCTGTGTGTATTTTCTAAGAATAAGGAGATTCTCAATGCACTTATCAAATTTAACACATAATATTGACATTGTCAAAGGGAAAAAATCCAATTTTTCTTTAACCTTATATATATTAATCTCTGTTTTCTCAGTCTGCTGAATGATACAAAATTTCTTTTCTACAACAAACTGTCAACTACAAGGAACATGGGTGGTTAGGGAGGAAATCATGTAACTCTAAGCATATAATACCATAATTTCCTTGGGTTACTGGGCCATTTATCTTTAAGCACATGCCAGTATAAATTTCTTGGATTACTGAGCAACTTGTTTCAAATGGAGACTATTTTTGGAAAACCCCTAACTCCCCTCCCTGTGAATGAAGAAGTTCCATTAAAATATCCGAAGAAGCCGAGGATCCAACAAAATCTTTGGTAAACCTTGCCTGAGGCTCACCTCTCTGGATGGACAAGGGACCTCAACCTAATTCGGAGGATCCTGAGCTTGTACTTAGGGCCTATTACAGATCCTGTAGAGAACACCAAGGAAATTGTTGCCACTTTGTCCAGATCTTGATTAAATCTTGCAAGCAGGCTCACTTGATGATATTTCTGAAATGTGGCTGGTTCACTGGAAAAAAGAAATAACATTTAGAAATGAGTATAGATGACTAAGGAGAGAAAGCAGCTCTGCAGCCTGCAAATCATTGGTACACAGCCTACTACTTGGCCCCATTTCCTGCACTTGCTGAATTTCATGTCCACCAAGTCCAGGCAACTGCCTAAGTGAATCTACTTACCCCAAAGTGACATCAGAGAAGAATGCTGTGCACCAGGCAGTGTGCTCCTGTCTTTATTTATTTATTTATTTTGGGGGGTACCAGGGATTGAACCCAGAGGAGTTAACTACTGAGCCACATCCTTGGACCCCTTTTTTTTTAGAAAGAGAGAGAGAGAGAATTTTAATATTTATTTTTTAGTTTTCGGCGGACACATCTTTGTTTGTATGTGGTGCTGAGGATCAAACCCAGGCCGCACGCATGCCAGGCGAGCACACTACCGCTTGAGCCACATCCCCAGCCCCCCCCGGACCCTTTTTTCTAAAAATTATTTTTTTAGTTGTAGATGGACACAATGTCTTTATTTATTTATTTTTATGTGGTGCTGAGGCTCAAACCCAATGCTTCACACATGTGAGGTAAGCGCTCTACCACGGAGCTACAATCCTTGCCCTCCCTAGTCCTTTTTAAAAAATTTTTATTTAGAAAAAGGGTCTTTCTGAGTTGCTTAGGGCCTCACTAAATTGCTGAAGCTGGTTTTGAACTCTCAATCCTCCTGCCTCAGCCTCCCGAGCCGCTGGGATTACAGGTGTGCGCCACTGCACCCAGCTGGTGTCCTCATCTTTTGACACATCTCTCCAATCCCTGAAACATTCTGCAAGGTGGGTATTTTTTTTCCTATTTTACAGACAGGGAAAAAGCTGCTTGAAGAGCTTAAGTTCCCCACAGGACAGGGGTTACGAACTCAACTCCAAGTTCAAAGTTATGGTCTTTCCATTAAACTGCATTGCTAGAGACACACAGAGATTTCTAGCCAAACTGGACACTAACAGAGAAGTTATCCTTAAGCACATTTTTTTTTTCAGTCCTGTCTCTCAAGATGAACTTTAGGCTAAATCTATGTTCTAGTACTTTCCTCAAGTGTGTGAAGATGTTTTCTATACATGGAACCCCAGAGGTCCCAAGATAAATCACTGGGGAGGTTCAGCACAGTCCTTGTCCCACTGCAGAGTTGGAAGAGGAGGTCACAGAGAGCTGAGGAGTCTCCTAGGCTCAGGAACAATGGGCTCACATCAGAAATGATTCTTAATTTGGAGGGTTAGTGATGTAAGCAGGTATCTGTCATCCCAGCCCCAATGGAATCAAGTCTGAGTCTTGAAATACAGAAGGTACCCAGATATATATATATGGCATGGGGCATTGAATCCCAGGGCGCATAACCCCTGAGCCACATAGTTGCTTAGAGCCTCACTAAGTTGCTGAGGCTGGCTTTGAACTTGCAATTCTCCTGCCTCAGCCCTCAAGCAGCTGTGATTACAGGTATGCACTACCACTTTCAGCCCAGATTTTGGTTCCTAAATACCATCTCCACTAAAAGAAACCAGGGTTTCCTGGAGAAAGAGTTGACTCCCAGGCTGGGGCAGGGAAAGTACAAGGTGATCCTAAGACAGTCTGTGTGCCCAAAAGGAAGGAAGTGCTTCAGAGAATGATGAAAACATTCCATAGGTATAGAATCACTTCACACCCATTAGGACGACAGGTGTTGGTGAGGATGTGGAGAAATTGGAACCCTGGTGCAGTACTGGTGGGACCAGAAAATGATGCAACAGTCATGGGAAATTGGATGACAGCATGTCAAAAATAGAATTACCACATGGGCCAGACATTCCACTTTGAATATCCAAAATAATTCAAAGCAGGCACCAGCATCCATCAATAATTGAATGGGTAAACAAAACATGGTCGATACATATAATGGAATAATATGCAGCCTTAAAAATGAAGGAAATTCTGTCACATGCTACAATATCAATAAATCTTGAGGATACTATACTAAGTGAAATAAGCCAGTCACAAAAAGACAAATACTGTATTGATTCCTCTTATGTGAGCTATCTACTATTGTCCAATTCATAGAAAGAGAAATAATCGTATTTACTAGGGGCTGGGAAGAGTAAGGAAAGGGGAGTTGTTTAATGAGTACAGAATTATTGCTTTGCAAAATGAAAAAAATCTAGAGATCTGTCTCATGACAACATGAATACACTAACTACTGAACAGTACACCAAAAATTGATTAAAATGATAAACTTGGCCAGGTACAATGGCACACACCTATAATCCCAGCTACTTGGGAGGCCAAGACAGGAGGATCATAAGTTCAATGCCAACCTCAGCAACTTAGTAAGATTGTCTCAAAACAAAGCATAAAAAGGGCTGGGGAGAGAGATGCAAAGATGGTTTAATATATGCAAATCAATAAATGTAATTCATCACATAAATAGAACTATGAACAAAAATCACTTGATCATCTAAATAGATGCAGAGAAAGCTTTTGAGAAAATTCAACACCCATTCATGATAAAAACATTGAAAAAACTAGAAATAGTAGGAACCTACCTCAACACCATAAATGACACACACACACACACACACACACACACACACACACACACACACGTCAATTTCATAGTAAATGGGGGGGAAAATGAAAGTGTTTCCTTTAAAATCTGGAACAAGACAAGATGTCCACTCTTTCCACTTATATTAATATAGTACTAAAAATTCTAGCCAGAGCAATTAGGCAAGAGAAAAAAATAAAAGTAACAAAAATAGAAAATGAAGAAATCAAATTATCCCTATTTGCAGATGATACAATCCTATACCTAGAAGATCCAAAAGACTGCTAGAGCTAATAAACAATTCAGCAAAGTAGCAGGTTACAAAATCAACATGCAAAAAATCAATAGCTGAGCTGGGCACAGTGGCGCATGCCTGTAATTCCAGCATTCGGGAAGCTGAGACAGGAGGATCCCAAGTTCAAAGCCAGCCTCAGCAACAGCAAGGCACTAAGCAACTCAGTGAGGCCCTGTCTAAGTAAAATACAAAATAGGGCTGGGATGTGGCTCAGTGGCCAAGTGTGCCTGAGTTCAACCTCCGGTACCAAATAAATAAATAAATAAATGGCTGGGACATAGCTCAGTGATAGAGCACTTGCCTAGCACATGTGAGGCACTGGGTTCTGCTGGGGTTACCAGCACCCTGACAGAGCAGATTTCTGCTTTGAGGGAAAATAAAAAGTCTGAAAATAATAAGGAACAGAAGACAATAGACATAAAATAGTTTTTTAAAAGCTGGGTGCCTGGTGGGTCTTCCAGCCCCCATAGGAACAGGAACTGAACAAAGAAAAAGGTCCAAATTTTTTATTTAAGGGAAATACATCAAAAGGTTTCACTGTGGCAAGCTTCTTGAGAAAAACAGGATAAAGATGTGAAAAGCAACTTGTTTGGAGCCAGGGAGGTTACACTCACCCCCCACCCCCCACTGGGGGCTGCATTTGAACATAGGTAAGGTAAGGTGTCAGCTGTAATCTGAACAATCGGCAACAGGTAGATTCATACCAGGAGTTCTCAGAAAAGCAACCTCCACACACACAGCCCACCCCACACCCGCTACATCCCCCCTCCCCACCCACCCCCCTGCCATCTTGTAATGGCTCAAATGAACCTATAATTCATACATGGCTTCCAACACTCAGCACCACATTAATAAATAAAAGCATTGTGTCCACCTACAACTAAAAATTTTTTTTTTAAAAAAATCAATAGCTTTCTTATATATCAACAATGAATCTACTGAGAAAGAAATAGGGGAGGGGGGGAATCCCATTCACAATAGCTTAAAAAAAAAGGAATAAATCTAACCAATGAGGTGAAAGACCTCTACAATGAAAACTATAGAACACTGAAGAAAGAAATTGAAAAAGATCTTAGAAGAAGGAAAGACCTCCCACGCTCATGGATAGGCAGAATTAATACTGTTAAATGGCCATGCTACCAATACTAGAAGCAATACACAGATTCAATGCAATCCTCATCAAAACACCAATAATATTGTTCACAGAACTAGAAAATACAGTCTTAAAATTCATTTGGAACAATAAAAGACCCAGAACAGTCAAAGCAAGTCTAAGAAAAAAGCAATGCTGGAAGTATCACAATATCTGACTTTAAATTACACTACAGAGCTATAGTAACAAAAACTGTATTGTACTGGCATAGAAAGAGACACATAGACCTATGGTACAGAACAGAAGACACAGAGACAACCCCACACATCTACAGTCATCTGATCCTTGAAAAAGGTGCCAAAAACATACATTGGAGAAAAGACAGCCTCTTTAATAAGTGGTTCTGGGAAAACTGGTTATCCATATGTAGAAAAATGAAACTAGACCCTTATCTATCAATCATCCTACACAAAAAGCCAACTCAAAATGAATCAAAGACCTAGGAATTATACCAGAAACTAGGCAACTCCTAGAAGAAAATATATAGTCAACACTCCAATGTGTAGGCATGGACAATGAATGACTTTCTCAATAGCACCCCTAAAGCTTAGGGAATAATGACAAGAGTTAATAAATAGGATGGAATCAGATTAAAAAGCTTTTTCACAGGAAAGAAAAAACAAGAATGTGAAGAGTGAACCTACAGAGTGGGAGAAAGATCTTTGCTAGCTACACTTCTGACAGAGGATTAATATCTAAAATATATAAAGAACTCAAAAAAATGTAACACCAAAAAACCAAATTAATAAATGGAAAAATGAATGAAATAGACACTTCACAAAAGAAATATAAATGGCCTACAAGTATATGAAAAAAATGTTCAACATCATTAGCAGTTAGGGAAATGCAAATCAAAACTGCACTGAGGCCCTGCTCAGTGGCAGACGCTTGTAATTCCAGCGGCTTGGGAGGCTGAGACAGAGGATCTCGAGTTTGAAGCCAGTCTCAGCAACAGCAAGGTTCAAAGCAAATTAGTGAGAACCTGTCTCTAAATAAAATAGAAAATAGGGCTGGGGATGTGGCTTAGTGGTTGAGTGTCCCTGAGTGCAATCCCCAGTACCACCCCCCAATAAAAACTACACTGAGATTTCATCTCATACCAGTCAGAATGGTAGTCATCAAGAATACAAACAATAATAAATGCTGGAGAGGATGTGGAGAAAATAGAACACTTTACACTGTTGGTGGTATTATAAAGTAATACAACCACTAGGGAAATCAGTGTGGAGATTCCTCAAAAGACTAGACATGGAACCACCAGATGACCCAGCTATACCACTCCTTGGTATATATCTTGAAGAATTAAAGTCAACATACTATAGTGATACATGCAGACCTATGTTTATAGCAGCACAATTCACAATAGACAAACTGTGGAACCAGCCTAGATGCCCATCAACAGATGAATGGATAAAGAAAATGTGATATATATACACAATGGAATTTTATTCCGTCATAAAGAAAAATGAAATAATGTAGTTTCAGGAAAATGGATGGAACTTGAAACCATTATGTTAAGTGAAATCAGCCAAAGACAGAAGGTCAAGGGTCATATGTTTTCTCTCACATAAAGCCAGAGAAGAAAAAGGAAAAGAAAGATGAGAGGTGATCTCATGAAAATAAAAGGAGATTAGTAGAGGAAAGGGACTAAGGAGTGAGAGGAGGGGAAATAAGGAGGAAATCTCTGTGGAGGATATTTGCCAAATTATATTGCTATATTGTGTGCGTATACTAATATGTAACAACAAATCCCACCATTATGTACAACTGTGTGCCAATAAAAAAGACAAAAAAGTACACATGTCCTAAAAAAACAAAAACAAACAACAGGCTGAGGATGTGGCTCAGTGGTAAAGTGTCCCTGAGTTCAATCCCTAGTACCAAAACCAAACCAAAACAAAAAAGATGGTAAAGTTTATGTTATTTGTGTTATGCATCTTTACCACAATAAAAAAAAATTTAGACAAAAATAAGTGCTGGCAAGTGTGTGAAGAAGTTGTATCCTTATACATTGCTGGTGGAGATGTGAAATAGGACAACTGTTTTGGAACACAGTCTGACAGTTCTTCAAAATACTAAACATAGAGTTAGAACATGGTTATAGAAATAAAAGATTTTTTAAAAGTGCTAATTATTTTAAAACTTTAAAAAAATTATACACACCATCATAGAAAACTGAATACTAAAGAGAACTTGTTAAAAAAAAAAAAAAGCAGCTATAGAGTCTCACCACCTAAATAGCAATAAAATATTTTAGCAAGTTTCTTTTTTATTACTTTTACATGATGGAGCTAATTTAAATCTTTATATAATTCTACATTTTTTACTTGGCATATTATAAGCTTTCATGTAATATATATCATAAAACTTCAATATATGAATAATATTCTATTACATGAGAATATTTAATTATTTCCCCATTGCTGAATTTTAAGGGTGTCTTTAATTTTTTTACTGCAAATTATATTTTGAGTTTCAGAAATATATATGTACATGTTATATTTATGTCCTATACTTTTCTACTTGTATAGCTCTTAAAAGGATAGGCATATGTATGTGGTGGGTGCCTTTGGACTTTGGAGGTGGGCCTATTGGGGGGAGTGGGTGAGAACTTGTACTTTTATGTGGCATATCCCTTTATGTTTTTTATTTGTGTGTTTTTGTTTTTTAGTACTGTGAATTATCCAGCTGTGATTTATCACTGAGCTATATTGTTATGGTTTAGAAATGAGGTATCCCCCAAAAGCTCATGTATGAGACAATGCAAGAATATTCACAGGTGAAGTGATTAGATCATGAGAGTCATAACATATGGATTAACTAGGTGATAACTGTAGCCATACAGAGTGTGGCTGGAAGAAGTAGGACACTGGGGGTGTGGCTTTTGAGGTTATATTTTTTCTCTGGTGAGCAGAACTCTCCTGTTTCCTGGCTGCTGCTTCCTGAGCCGCTTTCCTCCACCATGCCCTTCCAACATGAATTTCTGCCTCATCTTGGGCCCAAAACTATGACCCTGGCTGACGGTGGACTGAACCTCTGAAACCATGAGCCAAAATAAACTTTTCCTTCTCTAAGTTGTTCTCTTTTAGGTCTTTTGGTCACATCAATACAAAACTGACTAAAACATACATCCCCAGCCCTCTTCAGTTTTTGAGACAGGGTTTCAATAAGTTGCTGAGGGCCTTGCTAAGTTGCTGAGGCTTGCCTCAAACTTGTCGGCCTCCTGCCTCAGCCTCCAGAGTCACTTGGATTATAGGTGTGCACCACCATGCCTGGTCATTTATAGTTTTAAAATGATTATTTTTATTGAAAAAAAATCATAATTGTATATATATATGGGGTACAATGTAAGGTTTTGATACATGTATATAAAATGTGGAATGATTAAATCATCATAGTTGTTTGAACCTTTATGGTAAGCAAGAAAAACTTTTGTAATTAAATGTTCAACCAGAGGAAGAGTTAGAAGAGAAAAAGGGATTGTGGCAGGAAAGGAAGAAGGTAAAGGAGGGAAGGAGGAATAAAGGAAGGAAGAAAAGAAATCACTTGTGCCAATACATTTGTAGAGAGCCTGAGAGATCAAGAGCGGGGAAAGCAAGTAAACAACATGTCCCCTTATATTTTTTGTAGGACAAGGGAAAGCACAAACCTATAAATAAGAAAATAGGTATATCTGGGATTTAATTTCTCAAGCCAAGAGGAAAATAGCAAATGGCAAACTATTGCAGCTCAACTTACTGATCGATTTTAGATTCTGTGGTATTTCCATCTCTGTCTCTTAATTTGATTGTAATAGACCCTCTTCTGATGTTCTTGTTCCAAGATATAATGTCCACAAAGTAATGATACACTGCAGAACAGGGAGAGAACATAATAAGAGAGGTAGCCCCAAATGCTCCACTGGAGGGCCGATTCCTGGAAGCCCAACATCCCTAATAATTGAGTTTCCTTTTCTCTTCCTCTGAAGTGTCTCTGAAAAGATCCGGGGCAATATTTTCTATTGTTCTTTTTTTTTTTTCCTTTGGCAAAAATGGCATGAGTGACATCAGAGTTCACTGGGACCCAGTCACCATGTTCAGGCATCCCAGGTTCCCACCAAATGGATTAAGGTCTCCTGGCCTATGGCTACATGTGATTGGTTCACTTCCATCCAGCCCATCTTATGCTAAAATGATCAAGTTGCCACTTGGAGATACTCCATGGCCAACAAGGTCTTCCATAATTTGAGTCATGTCCACTACCTACCTGGTGCACCTTGAAGTCTCCTTCCTACCTCTGCCATGCCACCCACACCTCCTGCACTACCCAACTCTCTCTTGCTCTTGGGCCTTCCCTGTGCCTGGACATCCTTAATGGCCCATTTTGCAAAGTTGTCCTTTGGGTTTCAGCTTAATGTCATTTCCTCTAGGAGGCCCTCTCTGGCCCTCGGACTAAGTCAGTTCTCCTTTCTTTGAGTCCCTGTTATGCTCTGGACTTTCTCCATCATAACCCATCATGCTCCACTGTAAATACAAAGTGAAAAAAAGTGGTAAAGATGAGTACATCTATGTACATATTGCCTGAAAAATGGGTTAAAAAACAAGATCAGAGGGCTGGGGTTGTGGCTCAGTGGTAGAGCACTTGCCTCACATGTGTGAGGCACTGGGTTCTCTTCTCAGTACTGCATGTAAATAAATGAATAAAAATAAAGTCCATCAATAACAAAAAAAAATCAGAAAACAAGGTAGAATTAAAATATACTACAACAATGAATCGTTATTACTTTTTATAATCCCTGCAGTAAATCTTACAGGCACCCAATAATTCCTCTTGAATAAATGATACACAATGCATTCAGAGAACTATTTTTTCTTCCTTACTATTTGCTCTTAAAGGTCAAGTGGTTTGGGGCAGATAAGGATCTCTACGTGACAGGCAGATTTGCTCTCTCTTGGTCAGACTTGCAAGGAAAGTGAAAGAGACTCAGGAAGATGATGGTTCCGTGAAGATAAGGCCAGCTCTGGAATGTCCTTTCATGGCCCTTATTGCTCAGGGGATTGCCCCATAGAGACGAGGCAGATGCCCAACCCTGGGCTGCCATGTATGGCTCCAAAGAAAGAGGGAAACCCAGGGATCTGCTGTCTTTTAGGACAGTTGCTCCCAAGAAAAGTGATAAGGAGTAAAAGATTGCAAGGAAGGCCTGGCATGGGGGCACATGACTGTGTTACTGGTGGCTGGAGGCTGAGGCAGGAGGATCACAAGTTTAAAGCCAGCTTCAGCAATTTAGCAAGGTCCTTAGAACTTAGACCCTGTCCCAAATTTTTAAAAAAGAGGATCTGGGGATGTGGCTCAGCTCAGTGGTTGAGCACCCCTGGTGCTCAACAACAACAATACCAAACAACAACAACAATAAAAAAAAAAGATTGCAAGAAAGGCATACATCTTCCCAGGCAAATCCTGACGGCATATAGAGCATTTAATCAACTGCTGTCCTTCCATCTGGAATACTCAACCTCTTGATGTCTTGAATTTGTCATGGTTGCTGTAGAGCTAGGACTGACCCGTAAGATGTGCCTGCCACCTTAATTTTCCTAGCCCCAATGTCCATCATGTCTCTTGAGGAATCAAGTGATTTCCTGGAATATCTTAGTGGTTACTATGGCCACTGGTGATGCTAGCAACACTGATTTATTGATGTTTTAATCCTAATAGCCCAGAAGATAGGCATTATTATCTCCACTTAGCCAACCAGGACCCTGAGACCCACAGAGGTTAGAAGACTTGACCAAGGTCTCACAGCTATTATGTGATAGAATCAGGATTCTACCTAGGCCCTTCCAGCTCCAAACTCCAAGCTTTACCACGCCCTTCATTTGCCAAGAAGCAGCCAGGAAGCTGAGACTCAACCATCCCCACAATAAAAGGGTCAGTCAAACACCACTCACTGCAGAATGGCTCCTTCTCAGCTGTGTCAAAGAACGCCTTATTCATCGGAGGATCTTTCTGCTTTAAGTAGTCTTTCCAATTGTCAGCATAATAGCCTATAAAACAAGTAGGAAAAACGTAACGTGAACACGGGTTACATAAACATGAAAGCAACAAAGGGGTGAGCACACTGAGACACCTGCAGCCACCACAGAGACAACCTGCCAGCGCCATGTGAGCACTTCAGGGTCCAGGACAGTGTCACCCCAGTGACTACCATTCTTGCCGGTTGTCTCCATCCCTAAGAGCTGGGGTGCAGAAGGACCCTATAATGGCTTTGACCCCTTTACTGGTTCTCAGTTAACCTGGTAGGGGGATGGGGAGCAGCACACTGTTTTGAACTAAAAATAGGACTGATGTTTTACAGTAATACATTCATTTTCTACATTAAAACAGATTTAGGTTTAGACCTAAAATAGCATCATTATTGCAAGGCAAGGTGCTTTTTTATTTTCCATTTTTGGGGGGTTGGCAGTTCTTGAAATAGAACCCAGGGCTTCATGCATGCTAAGCACATGCTCTACCACTGAGCTGCACCCCCGAGACCCTGGGCTTTCTTGAAGAACGTTTTATTATTACAGAATATTGTACAGAATGTGGGCTTGCCAGATAACTATATCACCAAGCAGGTGAATGTCTCCCTTTATATCTATGCCTGCAGGAGGCAAGGTTGGGTGCTGTTTTACGACCTGTTTCTCTCCTATGGCCTCCAGACTCTGACTTAACTGATAGGGCAGAGGACACAGACACTGCTATTAAAAAAAAAAAAAAAAAAAAATCACCCTCTCTCAGTGACTCTAATGTACAATCAGGGTTGAGAACCCCTATGTATAGTATGTCCTGCTGTTAACTTGGATTTCCTTTTAGGAAAAATCAGAAAATCCTCATGGCTTTCCACTTTCATAGTTTTAACCACTTAGGATATTTCCACCAACCCCTAGTAAATATCCAAGCAGTACCCATGGCATCTTTGACCCCACCCCAGCCCTGTATACCCATAAGAGCCAGAGGATGGAGTGAGGGCATCCCCCACCCCAAACCCCATAGTGGAATTGAACTAGGGCACTCTACCACTAAGCTACATACATCTCCAGCTTGTTTTACATTTTATTTTGAGGCAGGCTTTCACTAAGTTGCCTAGTCTGGTCTTGAACTTTTAATCTCCTGCTTCAGTCTCCAAGTAGTTGGGACTGCAGATGTGAGCCACCATGCCCAGCTGTCAGTAAAGGCATTTATGGACACTAGTTAGAAGGGACCACTCAGCTATGTCATCTGGCAGAAGGTCTCTGTCTCACTGTGGACCCTTGCCCAGTAGAGAGGGTGTTCCAGCCCTCGCAGGAACAGGCTGAGTAATGTGGCTGTGCTCTGAGTAGGCTGCGCTACCTGCTGGGTGGAATCCTACACAGATTGCTCTTCTACCAATTTTTGTAATTAGGAGACTAGAAAGTTGGCTCAAAAAAGCTGCCTAGAATGTTTTATGGGTTTTTTAAATTGTTGTTGTTGTTAGAAAACAATTTTGGAGCCATTTTTAGATAGCAAAATGGTTCTGGGATTTGTACCAAAAATTTGTACCAAAGCAGAGGGGGAAACCGCTTTGGACCTACCCAGGACGGGACAGGACTGCTCTGGTGTGCCGCAGCTGGCGCACTTGCCGTTCCTGTAGTCCCTGTAGGAGTCACAGGGATAGGCGGTGATCTCACAGTCCTCTCTCAGGGAAGCCAGGTACAGGTACACGGACCTCTGGTGGTCACACTTGAAATACTTTATTCCTTAGTTGGAAAGGGATTGATTCAAGGATAGAGCAGTAGAAGCATTTAAAAGAAGAACATCACATGTTTTACACACACAATTTCTCATCTCCTGCATGGCTCTGAAAGTTCCAATGTACTTGATCCCATTCAGTCCTTACAAAAAGCCATACATAAGGATTCATGCTGGCAGGTGGCAGAAGAAAAGATGACATTAAATTAAGGTTGTGACAGGAGTTAAAGCAAATATACTTTAATTAAATACTGTAGAGCCAGGGGTATAGCTTGGAGTAGCTAGAACAGGTGCCTACCATTTGTGAGGCCCTGAGTCTCCTCCCCAGCACACAGAAAACAAACAAAAACAAAAACAAAAAATAATGTCACTGTTAAATACAACCATTAGATCTCATCACATACAGTCTTTTATCTTGAATAACTTGACTCTGCTTCTCCCAAAATAAGCATTCTTGCATATTTCATTTACTATTGTAGCTTTAAATCTTAGAACAGTGCCAGGCACATGGAAAATTAATACCAATTATTTGGAAGTGCAATCTCCAGCAGGTTCTGCTACACACTGAAACCCCTCTGTCTATTTTTTTTTTTTCTTTCAGTGTTGGGGATATCCACAGCCTCACGCATGCTAGACAAGAGCTCTACCACTGAGCTACACACCCAGCCCTTCTGAGTAGCTGGGACTACAGATGCAGACAACCCCATCCAGCCTTCTGCCTCATTTCTGCTCAAGGCTTTAACTAAAAGTCTGGTTGTTATGGGTTCCCTCATCTGCTCCAGGTAAGTCCTAATAATCTCAATGACTGCAAAGTCAAAAGCAAGAGAGTAGTTTTGATTACTGCCACATTTTTCATTATGTCAAAAGCAACCAGGCCAGGCTGGGGTTGTGGTTCAGTGGCAGAGCACTTGCCTGGCACATGGAAGGTACTGGGTTGATTCTCAGCACCACATAAAAATAAATAAATAAATAAAGGTATTGTATTAAAAAAATCATTTAAAAATTGCACATGTGTATATTCCTTGAAAATTTCTTTATGTTAAAATAAATAAATTTTTTTTTTTTTTAAAAAGCAACAGGTCCTGGCAGTGGACAAAGACCAGACAGGTAAGTAAAGTATCCCAACTTTGTTTCAAATATTTTAAAGCCAGGAACCTATAAATTTTTATAATCACTGTAATAAAACAAAATCAGAAATACTATGGTGGGTAATAATAGCCTAGGTTCTTTATATAATATGTTGCTAGCTCTCACAATCTTGTAAGGGAGGCAATATTAGTGTCATTTTATAGATAGGAAAGCTGAGGCACAGAGAACCTACTAAAAAAGGCAGAGTTGGAATTCTGCCACCTGTGGTCTATGGGGCTCTCAGATCTATCTGTTGCACTACTACTAAAGTTCTCAAAATACTGTCTCAGACCAGCTGTGTAAGCATCACCTGGGAATTTATTAGAAATGGACATTATTAGTACTTTCCCCTGAGAGGCTTGCAGCTGTCTGCAGTCTGTGGTTTGGTTTGGTTTGATTTGGTTTGTTGCTGGGACTGAACACAAGGCCTTGCACGTGCCAATGTGATCTCTGTTTTAACAAGCTTTCTACATGATTCTGATATATGCTGAAGTTTGAGAACCACTGCTGTGCTGCAGAATAGAAGAGGCTGGGAGTCTACGCGGCAGGGCAGAGGAGACGAGGGTGGGGGATGGCACATAGTCTTACATCTTAATCAAGGACTGAGCCTGAGGTTTACTAAGACACTGTAGTTCTTGATGACACATTAGCTGGACCACAGGATGAATTTACCTTCTATCTTATCAAAAACCCAACGGCAGGGGTGTTGTGAGAAATCACTCTGCATGGTGAGCCTGCAATGCTCACAACCATAACAGAGGGCCAAGGAATAGGATCAGCTGATATAAAAGGACAGAAGGGAATCAAGAGTTATCTGAGGAGGGCTGGGGGTGTAGCTCAGTAGCAGAGCACTTGACTAGCATGCAGGAGGGCCTGGGTTCAATTACCTACATGCATGTCACACACTTCAAACACACACCCCTCTGAGGAGGAAGATCACATAAGAAAAAGGATGAGCCTGGGCTGTAAATCCTCCCACGAGCATCTCCTCCCTGAAATTGACCTCAACTATAAGTGGGCACCAAAGGGCAGCAGCTTCATGGAAGTGGGTCACTTAAGAGTGAAGTCTTCCTAAACAGGTCTGGGCTGTTGGGTGGAGCAGAGTCCAGGGTGGATAGAAGTCAATTAGATCAGAATCTACCCCTTCTACTTTCATAGTGAATTCTGAACTTGGAAATATAGATAAAATATTTAAGGAAAAAAAGGGAAAGTGAAATGAAAATCAGATGACCCAGCCTGAGGGGAGGTACTTTCAGAGAGCCCTCAAAAGAGCGACCACGGAAAGAACAGCCAGACGACATCACCCGATGACACAGAAGCAAGAAGGGGAGAGTTTTAGTGCAGGCTTAGTGGAACCGGAAGCTGGAGAACTTATGGAAAGCTGAAGCTGGGAAAAGGACCCTGGGTTATCTGGTGATTGGGAGGCTGCGCTGAACTTAAAGAAGTCACCTCCAGCAAAGCAGTGTGGGTAGAAAGTGGGGAGGTGTGGGTTAGCATAGGACACTCAGGAGATGGAAACAGAAATGAAGACCCTCGTTGCATGGTTTGATCACTGAAAAGGAGGAGAAAAATTTCAATAGTGGTCAGAGATTCCCTACAGATTTACAACAAAGACAATAAGCCAAAGGCTGAGGATAGGAGCCACTGAAAAAGAACAAGTACAGACACTAGGAAAAGAAGACATTAGGGAGTAACTGATAGGGGAAGCTCCCAAGGAGGGTCAGCAGAGGAGAGCATGTTGGAAAGGGAGTGGGATGCCTCTACCCTGGGTCAGGAGGGAACATGAGGGTGAACACTGGCCGTGTAAACTCAGATGAAGATAGATAAAATGGCTCTCTCAGGTAGGACGAAAGTCCAATCTAGCTCACCTCTAAGAGGTCTGGGGGTGCACAGGGCATTCCCCATAGTAGCCAAGTGGCAGGGATCTGTTGCCAATACAAGAGTGAAGTGGGAGGGGCTAAATGATAGGAGTGGGCACTAGAAGTCATGAACGGACAAGAAGAGGTTACAGGCAGGACTCAAGTTAGCTCCCAGGGGGTGCCAGCGGGTGCCAGGTGGTGCGATGGTGAGACAGGAGGTTGAGGAGACACAGAGATGGGTGTCAAAAGAACTAGAGATAATGAATTACTGATGTCACTCAAAACAGAGGCTTAATTCCACAAAAGGGCAATCAGTGTGGGTAAGGATCTGAAGAGGAAACAGTAACCCCACGAAAAGAGGAGCTGTGGTTGCGAGTGGTTTGGAGAGGCACTGGTTGCTGCATCAGATCACAGCGTTTTCTATGCCTCCAGGGTTCACTTGTGCCCATACAACAGATCAGTGAGGAACAGAGACATCAACTGGGGTAAGAAGGACGAAGCATGGGGCTGGCACGGGCCAAGCTGGACTGGAGTCAAACCTGACAAGCCAACACTTATTGTTTTGTTCCTGGAACTTCCTTTTGCAGAAACAAGGGAGTTGGGCTGGGGATGTAGCTCAGTGGTAGAGTGGGTTCAGTCCCCTGAACCAAAAGAGAAAAAAGTCACGGAGAAACAGTGGAGTTGATAACAATATGGGGGATGTCCTTTACCAGCAAAGCACATTTTCTTTGGCTGTTTGTGGATATGGTTACACTATCTCACAGGATGCAATTTGAACCTCACCATGGTACAACATGGGTATCCCTGCTTGTGCCATTTCAGCCGGATCACTTTCAAACACTATGTCAATCAGCTGGGGCCATAGACAACTACCTTTTCATGCCAAGACCATCCTTTTTCTAGAATCATTTCCATAGTTGTTTGACTTTCTCTAGCAGTGACGAAATATATACTTAGAGCACTAGGGGTTGGACTTTAAAATCTATCCTCCACCTCACTTTCTTTTTTAAGTTGTAGATGGACACAATACCATTTATTTGTTTGTTTGTTTACTTATTTTTATGTGGTGCTGAGGATCAAACCCAGTACCTCACACATGCTAGGCAAGTGCTCCACCACTGAGCTACAACCCCAGACCCTCACTTATTTTTTCTTTGTTCTTTTTCGTTATACTTGACAGTAGAATTTATTTTTTACACAATACCTTTACTTTTATTTATTTATTTTTTATGTGGTGCTAAGGATCGAACCCAGTGACTCACACATGCTAGGCAAGTGCTCTACCACTGAGCTACGACTCCAGCCCAGTAGAGTATATTTTGACATATCTATACAAATACAGAGTCTATCTATTATAGTCTATCCTATTCTAATTAGGATTCCAGTCTTGTGGTTGTATATGATGCAGAGATTCACTGTGGTATATTTACATATGTACATAAGAAAGTGATATCAGATTCATTCCACTGTCTTTCCTATTTCTGTCCCCCTCTCCCTTCCCTTCATTCCCCTTTGTCTAATCTGCTGAACTTCTATTCTTCCCCTCCTCCCACCTTGTTGTGTGTTAGCAACCACATATCAGAGAGTACATTTGACCTTTGGTTGTTTGGGATTGGCTTATTTCGCTTAGCATAGTAGTCTCAAGATTCATCCATTTTTTGGCAAATGTCATAAAGTCATTCTTTTTTATGGTAAATATTCCATTGTGTATATAAACCACATTTTCTGTATCCATTCATCTGTTGAAGGGCACCTAGGTTGGTTCTATAGCTTAACTATGGTGAATTGAGCTGCTATAAACATTGATCCCCCACCTCACTTTTAATGTTGCCCTTCAACTCCCTATTTTTTTGTTTTGAGGAGCTAAGTTTGCAATTTATAATTTATATTTAAACCACTGCTATCTTCTCAGAAAAAAAAAGTTTTCTATTCAAAACTACTCCATGAAGATAATATCAGATTTTTTAAATTGTACTTTTCAATCCACTATTTTACAGAATATAAAGTACCTGCACTTACCTCCAAATATCGTTTGGGGGCAACCAGGTTGATCCAATCCTCCATTTGGATAGAAGTCTATGTTTCCTAGCGGTTCCTTGTAGCCCAGTGCTAAAAGAGAACACACTATGCTTTCACACTGCTTTAACTCATTCACCTCTCATAGCTCATTTGCCTGCCAGACATAGGCAGGATTTGGATCATTATTGTTGTTGTTATATAATTATTGGTATACTTATTTAAATGTTTTTCCCAAAGTTACCAACCCAGTTAGTTAGTTGGAAAGCAGGAAGTAAATTCCACTATCATCCATTCCATTATTAAGTGATTGAGCAAATGGTAATGGAATTTAATTCCACTATTTCTAAAAACATAGGGATTTTGGTTACTCATTCACAGCAAGGCTGACAAAATCATATATTTTTTTCCTTACATTTGGCTGGGACCCTCCAATTGTCATGAGCTTCCTGAGCCTTGAATTTGCACTGTACAAATCTTTAATGAATAAGAAATAGAAAAAAATAATTTTTACTTAGTAGGCAAAATTTTTTGAAATTTAGGATCCAGGACAGTAGAAAGTTTAAAAACAATATTAGATAATGAGGTCCTGAAAAATTGCAAATTTAATAACTGCTTATTTTCTTTAATCATGTAGCCCTAAAATAATCAGTTAAATGCTTGATTAAGATATTACTGGGGTCTGGGGTTAGAGTGCTTGGCTAGTATGAGGGAGGCCCTGGGTTCTATTCCCAGCACCAACACCAAAAACCAAAACCAAAAACAAAACCTATTGAAGATTATTGATAATCTGAACGTGGTGGCTCACACCTGTCGTCCCAGAACCTGAGGCAGGAGAAATGCTAAAATCAGGAGTTCAAGATCCGCCTGGGCAAGACAGTGAAAAAATCCCTGTCTCAAATAAATGAATATAAGATTTTAGATCTATATATACACATGTGATATGCACAGATATACACAGTGCATCATGGTATTAATCACAGTTATTATAGAGTGAGAACCTACATGTCTCTGTGGGTATGACAGCAGATGTTTTAAAGAACTTCTTTTCAATGTTCACATGTCTGCACAGTGGCCACTGGCAAATTCATATGAAATAACGATAGAGGCTCAGAAGACTTAAGAAATTAACATGACATCACTAGAAAGAACGGAATCCTGGGATCTGAGGCCACATCTGTCGGGACTGCAAAACTTATACTTTTTCCTTCAGACTCCATGTTCCAAGAATAAAAAGTGAATTGCCTTATTCCATTGGGCATCCAAATGGCACTGCAGTACTGCACTTAAGTAATACCTTACAAACTCCACAATAACAATGCAGCTGCTTTACCAAGAGGTTTCTTTTAAGTCAAACAACTGTTGAATACCACACTAAATGCCCAGGAGAGAGGGTCAGGGGTTGGTTTGTTTTGTGGTGCTGGGGATCAAATTCAGGACCTTGTGCATCCTAGTGCAAGCTGCACTACCACTGAGCTGCATCCCCAGCCCCGGGTCAAGGTGATGGCATTATAAAGAAGATAATGTTTAAATGACCACTTCTCTCTGTCCTTCTCAAACATGTACTCCACTTCCTCTCCCAGACATCTGTGTATAGTAGACACCCATCCTTGAACATCACCCCAGCCTCCATGGCATATGCCAACAATCCATGATGCAAAATCAGCATCTTGAAAGACAGAAATGGCCTGAAAGATTCAGACAGCTGAGAGCTGTTGGTGGGAGGATTGCTCTGTGTGGAGAGACACACACCTGAACTCGCCTTTCAGCTTAAGGAAATAATGAGAAGTAACCAACACACCCAGGAAATTATGCATCCAAACCCAGTTGCATATATGGAAACACTGTTCACGTGGGATGCAAACTGGCCTGACTGTGATTGGGCACAATGGTATATTTAAGATAAAAGACCCTGGGAAGGCCAGGCACAGTGGCTCATGCCTGTAATCCCAGCAGCTGGGGAGGCTAAGGCAGGAAGATTGCAAGTTCAAAGCCAGCAAGGCCCTAAGCTATTCAGTGAGAGCCTTTCTCTATATAAAACACAAAATAGGGATGGGGGTGTGGCTCAGTGGTTCAATCCCTGGTACCCCCCCCCCCAAAAAAAAGGGGAAAAAAAGACCATGGGAAAATCATCCCCACTGCAGCATGGATCCAGGGGTCTGGCTACACCAGCTACCTCTTCCTTTCAATGTTTCCGCAGATTTGGAACCTGCCTGGTAGGAAAAAGGCAGCTGGAGAAACCCGCTCTGCCCCTGCATGACAATCTGCCCCAGGGGGATTCTGTGGGTCTGGGGGGCGACTAACCCACCAAGACAGGAATGTTACCATCAGTGTCGGAGTGGATGACATCAACGAACTGCGCATCGCTGGGATCTAATCTGTCCTGGGGGGGCCTCCCGTTGAATAAAGGGCCCGCAGGATCGAGACCTGGAAGGAAAACAGAGTGGCTTGGCAGCCTCATTCCATGAGTCACTGGCACTGTGCCTCTGATGCCTCCCAGGGAGGATGGTTCACAGGCTGCAGGCTCCCCTCGGGTGGGCGAGCACTCACATTCCCATCCTGCTTTGTCAGGACTCCTTTCCACAGCCCTGCAGCTATTTCCCACAGTAGAGATGGTTACCTTGACCATAGCCCTGTGAACCGTACCCTGACTTCAGAAGGAAGCACAGCCCAGGCAGAGCTCCCCACACAAGGGGGCAGTGGCGGGGATACACTGGCTCCTCAGGAAAAAAGCACCACAGGGTGCATAAAAGAGAAAAACTAAATGCTATATCTTATTTTATCTCATTTTTGGTGATCCAGAAACCCCATTCAGTCCTTCCTTCTTGTTATTAATAAAACTCCTTTATAGCTTCACTGGTATTCATATCCCAGCTCATTAATTTGCATTGCAAACCTGCCAGAGAAGCAGGGCAGCTATTTTATAGATGAATGAACTGAGGTTTGGGGAGATCAAGCATCATGAGGCGAGCCCTGCCTCTTGGGGCAACCTCCTCTGGGTGTTGAGCTCTTGGTTTCACCACACAGAGCTTAGCAAGCTCAACAGGAAAGGGCAAAGCTCACTGGCCAAGCCAGGTATCAAAGAGGTTGCCAGTCCCTGTAGATACCGCAGATATCACCCACTCCATAAGTGCCTGGACTCAATTCTTGCCAATATTAATGTTAACATTAACATCTTGTCAATATTAGCTGGGCGTTTCTCACATCACTGTGAAATAACTCGAAACATAGGGGAGCAGCCCCTATGATATTGTAACCACAAAATAAAAACTTTAAAAAAAAATCCAGAGGCTCAAAAAGGCACTTATTAGAGCCCTAAGTAAAGTGAAGATCTCAAGGGACATCTCCCTTGAAGCTTTAACCTGTGAATATCGCTTTTTAAAATTTTTGTTTTGGGTGCTAAGGTTTGAACCTAGGACCTTGAACACGCTAAGTTTCTGCTCTACTACTGAGCTACACCCCTAGTCCCTACAAATGTCATTTTAGATGACATCTCCCATCCCCCGTGTTACATATAAAATCCAACTTGAGCCTCTTTCCTTTAACTCTCCTGGTTCTAGCTTCAATCTCTCCATTTCTCCTCTCCCAATACACTTCTGCTTCCTGGAGCCATTTATTTATCTACCCTCTTTTCTTATCTTCCCCCTCCCAGCCTTTCTTCCTCTTCTGTCCACTCCCAACTGAAACTGGTGTGGGAGGAGATGGGCAAACACCCAGTCCATATGTTGTTTTCAATACAACATAGCTTTAGAAAGAATGTGTCCCCCACCAGGAAGCTCCTCCTCCCTCCTCACATCAGACAGCACTACTTCCTGTCTAAGACAATGAAGAATGAGAGCCCCAGTTTACAGCAACCTCCAGGTCACTGGCAGAGAAAACATCTAGAACAGGGCAATTTTGAGAGTGTGAGGGCACTGTTCATAATCACACCAGGACAAGAGGTACAAACCAGGACTGTCACAAAAAACTTGGACTTATAATATCCATAGTGATATGCCATAGCAAGTGATCAGCTGACAATGTCAGTCAAAAAATTGACCAAAAATATGCGTGCTCACCAGGCATGGTGGCTCACACCTGTAAACCTAGCAACTCGGGAGACTGAGGAAGAAGAGTTACAAGTTCAAAGCCAGCTTCAGCAATTTAGTGAGGCCCTAAGCAACTGAGCAAGACCCTGTCTCAAAACAAAAAATAAAAAGGGCTGGAGATGTGGCTCAGTGGTTAAGAATCCCTGGCCAATCCCCTGCACTTAAAAACAAACAAACAAACAAAAAACCCCAAGAACCCTGCACATGGTATGAACAGACAGACATAAAGCACCACCAAAACAAAAACACATTTTATTTAATGCAAAATATTGTCATGTCCATGTAACCAGTAAAAAACTTAATATTTTCTATATTCTGTGTTTTTTGTTATTCTTCTTCTCAGTCTTCTAAAGCTAATGTGTATTTCACACTTACAACAGATTTCAGTTTGCACTGACCACATTTCAAGTACTTGGTGGTCATATGGGACTAGAGGTTACTCTATAGTTTCTCCAAGTGTGGAGCTCAGACCATCTATATTTTCTGGTTAAAAATACAGATTCCTCGGCTGGGGTTGTAGCTCAGTGGTAGAGCGCTTGCCTAGCATGTGTGAGGCACTGAGTTCAATTCTCAACACCACATATAAATAAATAACAATAAAGGACCATCAAATATATATATATATATATATATATATATATATATATATATATATAT